CGGACCACAGACTTCTGCAACGCGGCGCGGACGCAGGCGATCGTGCCAGACACCAGGAGGAAGACGAAAGCTCGCATGGCCCACGCCAATTTAAATTGCTTGGCGTCACGCGACAAGCACATGCCCACGTGTCCAGTCCCCATCAGCTACCAAAAATTGCACGCGGTCTTGCTCGGCCGTCTTACACGGCGCCGGCACCGACCCCTCGATTTGGCAGAGGGGCGGCCGACGCCATCTTCCCCCAAGACATTGGATGAGAGACGCGTGGACACCCGAAGACGGATGGGGCCTTGTTGCTTGCGTCAGATTTGGTCAAACCGCCCAACTCGGCCTCGCCATCGGCGCTAGCGGCCTCTTCGAACATGGTTGGCGCGGCTGGCCACTTCGCGCGCCGTGGCCTCCACCCGGCGCGAACCGCCTTCGTCGCGGACGGATTCGACGAGGCGTCTTCCGTGCACTTCCAGCGCGATGGAAAATATCAAGGGCGCCCGCCCCGCGCCCCCCCCCCCCCCCCCCCCCCCCTTCGCGATCGCACTGGCCGGCCTCCTCGCGGGCGCGCGCAACGTGCTGCGGACAATCCTGGCCAAGCCACCAAAGGATTATTGCACGGTGGAGCTCGTCTGCGCGGGTGGCGCCCCGCTGGCTGCCAGCGACCCCCGCGTCGCGCCCGTCGCTCGCGAACGCCGTCGAGACCCGCGGCTCGCATTGCGGGGCACAGTTCGATCGGCAGAGAGTGGAGCTAGAAGGGGTGGGACGAACGCCGCCGCGACGTGCGCTTCCAGTGCCCCTGCTGCTCGTCTCACGCAAACGCGCGCGGGCGCGTGCGATGCCAACCTGCAGAAATGCCCTGTCACATTTGCTTGGCGCGCCGGTGCGCGCGTCTATCTGGACAGCATATTTCTGCAACGCCGCCGCGCATTCGCGCTCGGGCCTTGCCGCCGCGCGGACATGTCGCTGCGCTGCTGGTCTCGATGCTCCAAGGATGACTCGTGAACGCGAGGAAGTGGATGGGGCCCGTGCCCAGGAATTCCCCATCCCTCCCATCTCACAATGGAAAACGATGAATGCGTGGATGGGCGGGTCGGCAGCAAGCCCGATTAAAAAGGTATCGTTCCACACCTGGGACACGCGCGATGGCTGGGCCCCCGTGATGGCCCGCAAACATCGGCAACACAATCAATGCAAGCGTCTGGCCTCATCGGCGTTCGGTCAGGCTGGCACGAGCCCATGCAGCAGCTGGCTGATAGTGTCCGACAGAACCACGCGCAGCTATTCAGAGGTCGATGACGCCGCTTTCTTCTAAAATCTGGGCACTGAAGAGAAGTCACCCCGCGCGTGACATGCCTTTCTGGTGAGCTCTCGCACCGCCCGTGAGCGTGGACGTTGGCACCAAGCAGCGCAAAGGCTCGCAGGCCAACGCGGCCAATCCTCCTCCTCCTCCTCCTGCTCCTCCTCCTCTTGCTCCTCCTCCTCCTCCGCTGGCGCAATCTAGATGCCCAGCCACGAGCCTCGAGATCGCTCGAGTAGAGGGACAAGCCCGACTTAACGTCAACGGCAGCGACGAGCGGCGATGGCCACGACGACCACGTGGGTCGGGCGAGGGAGGCTTGGCGAATCAGTTCGCGTGCTGGCAGGCCCGAAGTGGGCACCAAAGAGATGTGAGATGGCCAGACGCAGAAGGTCTTCTCTCGGGGGCGACGACAGGGGCGAATGGCCCAGGGGGGAGCCCGGCATGCATCCAGGGGAGCCGATGATCTGTGTCTTCGAAAAGGCTCCCGGGCGAATGCGTGTAATGCCCGCCTCTGGGCTGTTCGCCCCTACCATCGCCGCCGATTTTCGCAAGTGGCAACAGCCGCTTTGGGTCGGGCGACCGTCTGTCTCAAATGGGTCACGCCCGCGGCGACACCGACAGCGACACCGACGCCGAACGGACAGGAACTGCTGTCGGTCTTCGCTCCCATTTTTACGGACCCGTTGCGATCGCACTAATTTTCACGGCGCCTCCCGGCGCCAGAGGCGCCAATGTTTCGAGGAAGGCGCCCATCGGCGGGGCCGAAAGCAGCAGCGTGCAGGAGTTTCACTTCTCCCCTATCCCCCATCTTCGTCCGACCTCGGATGGGGGAGACAGTCTTGTAAACCCACACGGACGGGGGTGGCATGGGAAATTGTGGGGCTTCCGACCTATGGCTCTCGGAGATTCCCACCAGGGTATGCGTCTGCTGGCGCGGTTTCTCACAACCCTCTCCCTCCCTCCCTCCCTCTCATTATTCCAGACCTTCCGCCCTAACCTTCCGCCACTTTTTCGTTATGATCGATGTGGGGTGCCTTGAATTATGCACGTATCCATGAACTTCGATGGTTTCTTCCACACCTCCCGCGGAGGTCGGAGGATATTGAAGGGGCCCTGGGACACACCAATAAACACACACAAATAACAAGATTCCCCATATTCTCTTATATTTTCTGAGATTTTGTCTTCCCCCCCACTTCCCATTATTTTTCATATTTTCCAAGGAGTGGACGATTAATTGTGTGTGTGTGTCTTTCCCATCCTGAGGTATGGAAGGTGGAGGTGGAGGGCTTGCCCGTTGTCTTGCCTCGGCGGCGAGCGAGGGGGGGAAGTGAGGAGGAGACGGCCTTCTCAAAGGCGGCGGGATTTCTCAGAAGCCCTCGCGTCTTCTACCCTGACCTTCCAGAGAGCTATGTTCCAGCACGGGAGGCCTAAAAACCTAAAAACTCAACGAAACAGCCTAAAACTAAGACATATAATAGCTCTGGGATAGGTGTTTAAGTCGCGTGCTTGTTTTGCCCTCCTGAAGGTCAGGGTAAGAAGTGTTCTGTCCCAAGGGAAGGCTCAACGAACCTCTCGGAAGGCCGGGTGACTTCCGAGTCTTCCGAGAGGGTCTTCTCTTTCTCGCTTCCCCCCTTGCTCGCCGCCGATCAGCCCAACACGGGCATGCGACGATGAGATGTTCTCGATGCGCGGCCCTAAGCCTCCCGACCCCTGCCCTAGGTGTAGTTCCTCGTCGCAGACCCAGTCTTGATTGTCCCGGAACCTGGCGCAGGGCCCCAGACGCCGAGATCGAGAAAAACGCCGGGATCAACTAAAATGATGTCGCAGGAGATGCGGGAATGCCACAAATTGCTGGAAAGGCAAGCAGGTACCGATGCAACCACTCCCCGGACCCATCCCACGCAATGCACTCTCAGCAGAATCTCGAATACAATCCAGCCGTGGCGACGAGGGCTCTCCAGGACGAGCAGCGCTGTTCTGAGACAACGGCCTGAGACCCGAGACTGCGCGAGAGACGGCGCCCACGGCGACGGCGAACGGCGACCCCAGACGCCCGATGACTTGACTTCTGTCCACCGTCTTCCACCGCCCCTGGACGTCCCGACCCGCTCGGAGGCCCCTGTCGCCCGAGACGTCCTCGGAGAACGGCCCGAGCCCCAAAGCCGTGCGGTGACCCCGAATCCCCACGGACTCACCGCACGGTGTAGTCACCGCACCGTTTGGGGGCCCCCGAATGCTGTTCACCACGCTGGGGGTCCGGGGCGGCGCGGGCGCCGACGGCGAACGGCGGCGGCGGGCTGGCCGCGGGGCCCGGAGGCCAAGAGCCCATCTTTCTCTGATTCGCGACCGCACCCGTGACGGGCCCCCCCCCTCCCACTTGGTTTCCAACGTGGGTCTGTTACTATAGAAAGGGTCATGAAACGCACGTTGAAACACGTACTATGCCTATCTGTGCATATGCATGTGCTTATGCAAACGTTGGAACATGTATGGCGTAACCAGGGGTGGGTGGGAGGCTCCCACCCACCCCTGGTTACGTCACGATGCGCGCCAGCGCCATCTGGGAATGAGGCACTCCTGGGCATCCCCAGGCGGCTCCAGCGCAACTCGTGACGTGACCAGCCACCTCCCCCTCTTCCCCCCCACCGTCGCCCCCGTCCCGGATCAGGGGTCGCGATGCCTGCCCAACTGCTCTGGCCGTCGCTCGGACGTCAATTTCCTGTGCATGTTTCGGTTTCGTGCGTGTTTTTTTTGCTCGATGGTCCAGGATGGTCCTCGTCGGTTCTCGCCGAAAAAAAAACACATGTCCGAGCGATGCCAGGTGCTTGATATGAGTGGATGGGTCTTTCGGACGGATGCTGAAGTTGTGGTGGGTAGGACATTGCCCTCAGATCTCCTCGGTGCCCGCGGTGGGGAAGGACACTGCCATGAGGTCTCCTCCGTGCCCGTGCAGAATATCTAGCCTGACTGATGCTCTGCGAGTGGCGTGCTGGCCTTTGCTGACAGGCTCACATATGAATCAGCGTCGAGATCTAAACATCTCACCCCCAGTCAAGCCCGCTCCGCCAGGGAAGGTCTGGGATTAGACCAGCGCGCTCCACTACTCGCAAGAATTAGGGGTACTCGCAAATGGCCTGGATCAGCCGCGGAGGATGTACAATGCATAACATAGACGAAGCCATGTTTGTCTATGACGATTGCAACAAGACCATTTGCGAGTACGGCAAGTTCGTGTCGTGCCGACTTCGGCGTTGGTTCCTGACACGGCGGGGGTCGTTCAGCCTTGAACGATCGGCTGTTTCCCAAAACGCCCGATCGCTGAACATCGACCGGATTGGGGCCGCCGCCGGCATTCAACGTGGAACGCCGGCGGCAAGGTCGCCGCCAGCCGACACGACGCGAACCTGCCGCGGTGGAACGCGCTCGGCAACGCGCTGGCATGATGGGCCGACTTGCCACCGCCACTACCACGGGCAGCAGAGCGAGGAGGAGGAGGAGGAGGAGGAGGAGGAGGAGGAGGAGGAGGAGGAGGAGGAGGAGGAGGGGAGGAGGAGGAGGGGGAGGGGGAGGGGAGGGGGGGGGGGAGGGGGAGGGGGGGGGGGAGGACCTCCCCGTCCACCCTTCTCCCCCCCTCCTGCCCGTGGTGGCGGCGGCAGCGGCGGCGGCAGCGCGGCGGGCAGCGCGGCGGGCTCGGCGGGCGGCGCTCCTCGGCGGCGGAGAGGGCGCTGGAGGAGTGCCGCAGGAGGGGCGACCTGCCGCCTGGGCGCGGCCCCCTTCGGGTCGGGCGAAAGGGGGGGATAGCAAAGGGGGGGTTTGAGAATCAGCTCGCGTGGCTGATTTTCCCGGCGCCTCCCGGCGCCGGGAGGCGGCCATGTATCGAGGAATGGGCGCCGCGGTGAGGCCGAAACCAGCTGCATGCAGCAGATTTCGACCCCCCCCCTTTCCCAATCCCCCCCTTTCGCCCGGCCCGACCCCCCCCCCGCCGTCGGACCGGGGAGGAGCACGAGATTCTCCACTAGACTTCGGTCGATCGCGCATTTGTCGAGAGCCAGCGAAGGACCGGCCCGGTGCAGAGACTGGTCTCTTGCCAATTGTCACCCCATGTCGCAGGAAGAATCTGACGGGTTGGATGCACTGGATTCCCGAGAAAGGAGGCTCGCGCAGAAGTCCAGGCTGAAACACCCAAGAAGCAAATCTCCAACCGTCAGACCTGATGGCCGGAGAGTGGGACGGGTGTTTTTGTAATTGTACTGTGCTCATTTATTTAGCGTCGCTTGCAGCATACCGCCGGCAAAAAAAGCCTCCAGCCGCGAGCCGCGAGCCTCGGGCCCCTGGGTCCTCGGCCCCGTCGATCGTGGAGCCAGGAGCCTCGAGCGACAGCGAGGAGGACCGTCGGCGGCGGCGGCGCCAGCGGTGGCGCCAGCGGCGGCTGCATCCACGGCGACGACGGCCCTGCACCTCTAGGCGGGTTTTGGATGAAAATAAGAAATGCTCAAAACATACTCCCAAATGGTCAACAAAAAACTCATAACAAATCGTCCCCAGACTATTGTTTCAAAAAACTATGTTTGAAGATTCCTCCTGTAGAGGCACGTGTCGGCCTTAACTCTAGGTCAGGAGCGGGCAGCATCGAGGCAGGAAAGCGGATCGAATCGGAGCAAGCGTCGGCCTGGGCCACGTCGGTACGAAGCCGAAATCGAAGCGGACCGGCTGCACCACGATGCGCAACATCGCCGTGGACACATCGGGTCGTATCGGATCTCCGGAAAATCGAAATCGAATCGGAATGATCTGGGCGAAATCGAGTCCACTGCGGGCCGAGTGGTACAGTCTGCGCGCGTCTCTGGAGCTCGGGGCTCCACGGGGCGCCTCCTGGCCCCAGGGCCACCGTCGACCAATCCTGGACGGACGTTGGCTCCTGCAGGGTATCGAGCCGCTCGGATGAAGTCGGGCCGCTCGGATCGAGTCGCATTGAGCAGGGTCGATCGGATCGAACTGGGAAGCGGGCCAGGGTCGACGCCTGAGGATGCGTGTGCTCGAGCGCTTCCCGGCTGGCCGCGGGCCTGCAAAGCATGCGGCCGGCCCCCTGCCGCCGCGTGGGGCCGCCACCGGCCCGGGGCTCCGCCAGGGTTAAGTCGGGCCTGTCCCCCAACAGGGGGATCTTCTGCAACAAGGTACACCAACAGTAATCAAACAGTTGTCCAACAATAATATGGGGACTATTGTTTAGTTTGTTTTTGCCTTGTTAGGGTATGCTTGGGGTATTTTTTCATATTTCGTCGAAAATCCACCTGTAGGGGGACACGCCTGACATAACGCCAGGGGCGGAGGTGCATCGACGATTGCCCAGGCTGCCAGCGGACTGACTCTTCCATCCCAGCTGTGCTCCCTCGGCTCCGCGCCCGTGGCTTACAGCGACCTTCGGCGGTGGACCAACCTCCCTTTCGCAAAACCTCCCTCCCCTTAATGAAAACGGCCCGGGACCGAAACCGACGGACCTGGACCCGCAAAATGACGGCCGCGACGCCCTCTGGCGAACCGAAAACGGCCAATTCCTCAACCGACGTGTCAGGGTAGGAGGCCTGTCCCCCTAAGGGGGATTTTTCGACGGGAGAAAAAAAAAACAGACCCCAAAAATAGTCCAAAGGTAACCCAAAAATAGTCTGGGAAACGTTTTGGACTATTTTTTGGACCTGTTTGGGGCATGCTTGGGGTATTTTTGATTTCTCGTCGACAATCCCCCTGCAGGGGGACACGCCCGACGGAATCCCAGCTGTGCTCCCTCGGCTCCGGGCCCGTGGCATATAGCGACCTCCCCCTCGACCGTTGGCCCCCTGCGGCCCCCGCCCGCAGCCCCCGCCCAAGGAGCGCCACGTGCTCGTGTGGGGCCCACCCGGGGAGCACGGGCTCGCGGTGGCTCTGGCGGAGGGCGGAAGGCAGCCGCCATTCGTTCCAAGGCACGAGGCGGCCGGGATTCTCGGGGATCTTCTGACCCGGGTCAGTCCAGGCCCGGGTCAGCAGGAAACCCAAAAGCTGCAATGCAGGAAAAGCAAAAACTGCAACGCAGGTCTTCGCAAGCCCGGGTCCGCCGATGGGCGCGGCCGCCTCGCGGCCACGAGCGGCTCGCTGACCCGGGCCAGCCAGAGGGGGTCTCCGCAGGATCCTGCAGGATCCAGCGCCCTGGCTGACCCCCGTCTGCACTTGACCCCCGTCTCGAGGCTCCCGGGGGAGACCCACCTAGCAACGGGAGTCCTCCTCAATTTTTCCCCACATCCTGAGTGGGGTTCTTGTTTTCCCAGAACACCCTCTCCTTCCCACCCACCTCCCGCTCCATCTTCCATACAGCACAATACTATTCCTACCACACACACCATACCATACCATAGTTCCTACCACACATACCATACCATACCATACCACCACCATACGTACCATACCGTACCATACCATACCATGGCGTACCATAGCATACCATACCATATCACACCAATGCCACACCGTACCATACCATACCATACCTCCAGTACCATACCATACCATACCATACCATACCATACCATACCATACCTACCATACCATTCCATACCACTCCATACCGAAAACCATACTACTTATCAAAACCATACTATTTACATGGTTTCGTGCCCCTCCCACCCCTCCAGGGAGGCCCCGCCTGAGCGAGGAGGGTATCGGAAAACCATACTATTTACATGGTTACGTGCCCCTCCCACCCCTCCAGGTATCGGAAAACCATACTATTTACATGGTTTCGTGCCCCATCCCACCCCTCCAGGGAGGCCCCGCCTGAGCGAGGAGGGTATCGGAAAACCATACTATTTAAATTGTTTCGTGCCCTCCCACCCTTCCAGGGAGGCCCCGCCTGAGCGAGGAGGGTATCCGAAAACCATACTATTTACATGGGTTCGTGCCCCTCCCACCCCTCCAGGGAGGCCCCGCCTGAGCGAGGAGGGTATCCGAAAACCATACTATTTACATGGTTTCGTGCCCCTCCCACCCCTCCAGGGAGGCCCCGCCTGAGCGAGGAGGGTATCCCCATACTATTTACATGGTTTCGTGCCCCTCCCACCCCTCAGGGAGGCCCCGCCTGAGCGAGGAGGGTATCGGAAAACCATACTATTTACATGGTTTCGTGCCCCATCCCACCTTTCCAGGGAGGCATTACTATTTACATGGTTTCGTGCCCCTCCCACCCTCCAGGGAGGCCCCGCCTGAGCGAGGAGGGTATCGGAAACCATACTATTTACATGGTTTCGTGCCCCTCCCACCCCTCCAGGGAGGCCCCGCCTGAGCGAGGAGGGTATCGGAATACCATACTATTTACATGGTTTCGTGCCCCTCCCACCCCTCCAGGGAGGCCCCGCCTGAGCGAGGAGGGTATCGGAATACCATACTATTTACATGGTTTCGTGCCCCTCCCACCCCTCCAGGGAGGCCCCGCCTGAGCGAGGAGGGTATCGGAATACCATACTATTTACATGGTTTCGTGCCCCTCCCACCCCTCCAGGGAGGCCCCGCCTGAGCGAGGAGGGTATCGGAAAACCATACTATTTACATGGTTTCGTGCCCCTCCCACCCCTCCAGGGAGGCCCCGCCTGAGCGAGGAGGGTATCCGAAAACCATACTATTTACATGGTTTCGTGCCCCTCCCACCCCTCCAGGGAGGCCCCGCCTGAGCGAGGAGGGCATCGGCTGGCCACTCCTCGCCAGGTTTCGTAGCCCTCCCCCCTTCCAGCGGGGCCCCGCCAAAGCGAGGAGGGCATCAAGAAAATGTGTCCCACGAAACCGTTAATCTCTTTATGTGGGGAACTCCGTTAGCATCATTTGTTTTTATTTCCTGGATTGGCTGGCCGGGTAGACGTCACCACACTCAGGGGGAAAGGGAAGAGGAGGGGGGTGATGATGATGATGATGATGATGATGATGATGATGATGATGATGATGATGATGATGATGATGATGCTGATGATGATGATGATGATGATGATGATGATGATGATGATGATGAGGAGGAGGAGGAGAGGAGGAGGTGGAGGAGGAGGGGAGGAGGCGAGAAGGAGAGGAAGAGGAGGAGGAGGAGAGGAGGAGGAGGGGAGGAGGAGGAGGAGGAGGAGAAGGGGGAGGAGAGGAGGAGGGGGTGGAGGAGCAGGGAGGAGGAGGGGGAGGAGGAGGAGGGGGAGGAGGAGGGGAGAAGGAGGAGGGAAGGAGGAAAGGAGGAGGGAGGAGGAGGAGGAGGATGGGATGAGGAGGAGGAAAAGGGGGAGAGGAGGAGGGAAGGAGGGGGGGGAGGAGGTGGAGGAGGGGGGGGGGGGGAGGGAGGAGGGGGAGGGGGGAGGGGAGGAGGAGGAGAGGAGGAGGAGGAGGAGGAGGAGGAGGAGGAGGAGGAGGAGGAGGTGGAGAGGAGGAGGAGGAGGAGCAGGAGGAGGAGGAGGTGGAGGTGGGAGGGGGGAGGAGGAGGAGGAGGGGGAGGAGGAGGAGGAGTAGGAGGAGGAGGAGGAGGGGAGGAGGAGGGGAGGAGGGGGAGGAGGAGGAGGAGGAGGAGGAGAGGAGGAGAAGGAGGAGGAGGAGGGGAGGAGGAGGAGGAGGGGGAGGAGGAGGGGGGGAGGAGGAGGGGAGGAGGAGGGGGAGGAGGAGGAGGAGGTGGAGGAGGAGGAGGAGGAGGAGGAGGTGGAAATGAGATGAGATGAGATGAGATGAGATGAGATGGGATGAGATGAGATGAGATGAGATGAGACGACTCC